TTTTTGACTAATAATCTATTCAGATCGATTTATCAATTTTAATATATGCCTGACTCGAATATGTTCTTCATTATTTGGGTTCATTTTCAATAATCTATTCAGATCGACTAAAGCTTCATCATATTTATACAGTTTAAAGTACTTTTAAAGAATTTATTGTGAAGAAAGCCGTGCAAAAATAATCAAAATTCAAATAATAAATATTTATCGAATTTAGTCATATAGTTGTCACGTCTTACTTTTTCGTGACAATAAGTCATGGAAACTTTTATTTTCATTCATTAATTACGTAATTTTATAAGTTGTAAAGAAACTTTGTGATTTATTATTTGCTCTAACAAAATAAATTTCTCGTTACAACAAAATTATGAAAATTTCTACAAAGAAAAATTAATAACCCTTCAATTGTAGTGAAATTAATACAAATTGAAATTGTATAAAAAAGTCTTATTTTTGTAAAAAGCATTTTCTAATACTTCTTTACCCTCACACCCAAGTTGATTAGATGAAATATTCAAATAAATTAAACTTTTATTTTGCAAAGAGCTTCTGCTATTGCTTTTTCTCCTAAAGCACTAATGCTATTGTTTGAAATATCTAGCGAGGTTAAAGTACTTTTTTTGTTAAGAGTATCTGCTAGTGCTACTCCACCCACATACCCAAGGTAATTAGATGAAATATTCAAATAAATTTAACTTTTATTTTTGCAAAGAGCATCTGCTATTGCTTTTCCTTCTAAAGCACCAATGCAATTATCTGAAATATCTAGCGAGGTTAATATACTATTTTTGTTAAGAGTATCTGCTAGCGCTACTCCATCTACATGACCAAAATGATTTGTTTTTGCAAAGAGCATCAGCTATTGTCTCAACTCCAAAAATGATAGAGGTTATTTTTTGAAAGATCTAAAAAAGTTACAGCGTTACGAATCAATTCTACCAAAATTATATTTTACCAGAGTTACTAATTAATTATTAATTAATTCTATCAAGATAATGCTTAGTGCTCGGCATAATCAAACAAAAATTTGACAGTCAAATACTTGTTAATACTTATGTTTAAATCGGACATCAAATCTACCAAAGCTAAATATATCGATATACTATTAGTTAATCTGTGATCATTTGATGTCCGATCTGACTTAATCACAAGTATTAACAAGTATTTGACTGTCAAATTTTTGTTTGATTGTGCCGAGCACTAATAATGCTTATGAGAGTTATATATTAATTCTACTAAAATTATGCTTGCCATCTTTAAAAAGAATTAATTTTACCAAAATTATATTTACCAGAGTTACTAATTAATTTCTAATTAATTCTAAGATAATGCTTACTAGAGTTATATATTAATTCTACCAAAATTATAAATTCTATCAAAATAATGCTTACCAGAGTTATATATTAATTCTACCAAAATTATGCTTACCAGAGTTATGAATTAATTCTACCAAAATTATATTTACCAGAGTTATTAATCATTTCCTAATTAATTCTATCAAGATAATGCTTACAAGAGTTATATATATTAATTCTACCAAAATTATGCTTACCAGAGTTACGAATTAATTTTACCAAAATTATAAATTCTATCAAGATAATCTTACCAGAGTATATATTAATTCTACCAAAATTATGCTTACCAGAGTTATATATTAATTCTATCAAATATGTTTACCAGAGTTATTAATTAATTTCTAATTAATTCTATCAAGATTAGTGTTGATTAATTCAACCAAAATTATGCTTACTGGTTACTAACGCTAATCAATTCCTAATTAATTCTATCAAGGCAATGCTTACCAGAGCTATATATTAATTCAACCAAAATTATATTTACCAGAGTTACAAATTCTATCAAAATAATGCTTACCAGAGTTATGTATTAATTCTACCAAAATTATGCTTACCAGAGTTATGAATTAATTCTACCAAAATTATGCTTACTAGAGTTACTAATCAATTCCTAATTAATTCTATCAAGATAATGCTTACAAGAGTTATATATATTAATTCAACCAAAATTATGCTTACCAGAGTTATGAATTAATTTTACCAAAATTATAAATTCTATCAAGATGATCTTACTATATATTAATTCTACCAAAATTATGCTTACCAGAGTTATATATTAATTCTATCAAATATGTTTACCAGAGTTACTAATTAATTTCTAATTAATTCTATCAAGATTAGTGTTGATTAATTCTACCAAAATTATGCTTACCGGTTACTAATCAATTCCTAATTAATTCTATCAAGGTAATGCTTACCAGAGTTATATATTAATTTAACCAAAATTATGTTTACCAGAGTTACAAATTAATTCTACCAAAATTATAAATTCTATCAAAATAATGCTTACCAGAGTTATATATTAATTCTACCAAAATTATGCTTACCAGAGTTATGAATTAATTCTACCAAAATTATGTTTACTAGAGTTACGTATTAATTCTACCAAGATTATGTTTACCAGAGTTACGAATTAATTCTACTGAAATTATGTTTACCAGAGTTGCAAATAGGGTTGGCAAATTACGGAAGTTTCTAAATTACGGTCATCCGTAAAATTACACAAAATTACAGTAATTTTACATCTCTACTGACATTATGTTTACCAGAATTACGAATTAATTCTACCAATATTATGTTTACCAGAGTTACGTTAATTCTACCAACATTATGTTAACCAGAGTTACTAATTAATTCCTAATTAATTCTATCAAGATAATGCTTGCCAGAGTTATATATCAATTCTACCAAAATTATGCTTGCCATTAGGGTTGGGCGTTTTGTGTAAGTTTTAGATTTTTGATGCAAGTTACATGTAAGTTATATCTAAAATCACTACGTATATCTTATTGTAAGTTACATGTAAGTTAAAATGTAACTTACAAAATTTGCCCAACCCTACTTACCATCTTTAACAAGAATTAGATTATGCTTACCAGAATTACTAATCAATTGCTAATTAATTCTATCAAGATAATGCTTACTAGAGTTATATATTAATTCTACCAAAATTATGCTTATCAGAGTTACGAATTAATTCTACCAAAATTATATTTACCAGAGTTACTAATTAATTACTAATTAATTCTATCAAGATAATGCTTACCAGAGTCATAAATTTATGCTTGCCAGAGTTACTAATTAATTACTAATTAATTCTATCAAGATAATGCTTACCAGAGTTATATATTAATTCTACCAAAATTATGCTTGTCAGAGTTACGAATTAATTCTACCAAAATTATATTTACCAGAGTTACGAATTAATTTCTAATTAATTCTATCAAGATAATGCTTACCAGAGATATAGATTATATTCAAACAAAATTATGCTTACCAGATCTACGGATTAATTCTACCAAAATTATATTTACCAGGGTTACGAATTAATTTCTAATTAATTCTATCAAGATAATACTTACCAGAGGTATAGATTATATTCTAACAAAATTATGCTTACCAGATCTACAGATTAATTCTACCAAAATTATATTTACCAGAGTTACGAATTAATTTCTAATTAATTCTATCAAGATAATGCTTACCAGAGGTATAGATTATATTCTAACAAAATTATACTTACCAGATCTACGAATTACTTCTACCAAAATTATGTTTTACCAGAGTTACTAATTAATTACTAATTAATTCTATCAAGATAATGCTTGCCAGAGTTATATATATTAATTCTACCAAAGTTATGCTTACCAGAGCTACGAATTACTTCTACCAAAATTATGTTTTACCAGAGTTACTAATTAATTCTATCAAGATAATCTTACCAGAGTTATATATTAATTCTACTAAAATTATACTTACCAGAGCTATGAATTACTTCAACCAAAATTATGTTTTACCTGTTACGAATTACATCTACAAAAATTATGTTTACCAGAGTTATGAATTAATTCTACCAAAATTATATTTACCAGAGTTACTAATTAATTATCAAGATAATGCTTACCAAATTATGTTCACCAGAGTTACTGATCAGCGGATATGTCTCAAAATTTTATGACCTGATGTATGTTAATAGTAAATTTGCACATCAATTTTTTAAAATTTTATATTAAAAAAGAACTTTGAAGATCTTATTTTTTGCATTACGCCCTTTTGGCAAAATAAATTCGAAGATGAAATTATATTAAGAGGAAGTTCTGAAACCCTACATTACGTATTTACAAGTTAAACTTAGATATTTGGGTTAGCTTTAAAAGGATCTTAGCTCAAAGTAAATGAAACAAAAAACATCACGTGACTCACGTGATCGTTATTTCGTATCAGTATTGATATTGTTAATTATATAGCATACAAAATTTTATATACTTTCTTGTGGGTATTTGAATCAGCAAGAAACACAGCGCCAAAATTTTCATCAACAATCACAGCCTACACCGCCAAGATTTGATTTTGATGATTCTAGGTTCAAGACATTGATTGGAAAGATGACACAAAAGCAAGTTAAAGAATGTCTTTCTACTTTGGAAAGGCGATGTGATATATTAAAACATACATTGAGTCAAGAACAAAATTGTCGTTCACCAACACCAACACGTACAGTCAGTCCAGGATGTGATAAATCTTATGATAATAATACCATTTTGGATGAAACCTTAAATTCTCCCTTGGACTTTTTTACTGAAAATGACTTTGCCGCTCTAGCTGAGGCTAGCGCTTTGGCCCTGAAATGGTATTAAGGACTCCTATAGAAAACATTTTTGGTCTGCCAGTATATCTTGATGGTCAAATAGTTCTTGATGCTGCTTGTTCTTAGTTATATTTACGGAATTCGGTAAGGTAATTCAAAAGTTAGATAAAAGATATACTTAGACGTTTCAATTTAGCCAATAAGCATAAATATAATTTATAAATCTATTAAAGCTTTGGTAATTTATTTTCAAAAGGCTTACTTTGCCAATTTATTTTATTAATAATTTATTTATAATCCTAAAGAAAGCATTGCAGTAAAATAGGTTGATAACATGAAACAATAAAATATAAGCTTATAGGCTTAATGAGAGGTTAATGTTAAAACATAATGTTACGTCTTATAAGTATTAATTTAGAATTAAGGA